ATCTTATTGAATGGTACAACAAGCTCAAGGGGGTGAGTAGCCTACTCTTGCTCCTAATCATATGCATGTATGCAATTCCACCTCTATGATCCTTTCTTTCTTGACTCCAACTGTTGGAAGCAGTCTGCTTCTTTCTAACCTGACCTCTGCTTTCAGTACATGCTAAACATAGTCCCGGTATCACACCTATCCATCATAATTCAAACCAAAATGATTTCCGAATTGTACTTGACAATAGATGAGGAGTAACACTGTTATTAAACGGAAAACAGCATCAGTGAATAACTAAAACAGCCTTTAGCAATAAATTAGCTGGTATACATTGTTAAAGGTAAACATTAGCAAAGAGTAATCAATCATGACTTTGAGATAATATTGAAAACTGCCCAAGATTCATGCTTGCTTATCACCAGCATCACTTAATTTATCTCCAGCCATCCACTTTATATATCTTTTATAAATTCTAAAGATATATATTGTCATAACATTTACTGTGCATTAGTGTACATCTTGAACATGCAATCAGATATATGTTTACAGGTATGGAAATTTAATATCACCAAAAGCTTTTTGTTGTCAAAAGCTTCAGACATGTGTACTTTGGGTAATTTCATTTCTTTACTTAATCAAAAAGCCAGGATGAATCAGGTGGTCTGTGTTGGAGTTTTGGTACGATTAAAGTCCCATTAACAAACTGACTGTGCAATGCACCCTCTGCAGAAACTGAATTACTGCTTACTGCAGCGATTATGTCTATGCTTTAGAGAGACAGATTGCCATCCCTCTGGCACTATTAAAACACATTGGCCTGTTCAAAATAGCAATTTATTATCCTCTAGGTGTCAGCACTGCATAGGATGTAAGGCCGTCAAATGATTTCTCCTTTGGGCAATTTGCTGCGTATTTATTTACAGCTCCACTCTGCCTTTGCGTGCATCTATTTATGTCCCTCTGTTTCCCTTAAAAGCAAATGCTGCAGAGTTGTGAGGATTTGCCAATGACTTGGAAAATCTTGCAGGGGGTTAAGCAGAGCCATTATCTTTAGAATGATATGTACATCAGGGTAGCCCCTCAGTTCTATGAGACTGTTCCACTCAATCCAGGGTGATTTGTACCTAAGCTCCAATTACCCCAACAGCTGGTCCACACACACTGACATCCCTTGATTTCAATCCTGAAAACATCAACTGACCAACACCATTTTGAAGCATCATCTCTCCGACACCTCACACTGAGTCTATCTCTGCTAATGTACCCACTGCTCTTGTTCTACCAATCTCACTATTGCCTGCAACACTCTCCATCACCCTCTCCTACCTCAATTCCACTAACTACCCTTTGTGCTGCCTACTCACTTCCTAGGGGCACCTCCCCACCTGCACCAACAGTGCCATCCACTTTTATCTCCAAGAATACCCACCTCTCTCTTACTCTAGAAACAAACAGCCCACAATAGGGCAGAAAGAGTCAAGAGGGATGGTCGGCTGCCACACATGACAGTTCATCCCTTATGAGGAGAGGACGATGACTCTGACCAGCTCGAGTGGCTGACTAACCGTATCCAAGCTCCTCGCCTGGTATCAAAGTCTGCCCTTGACCTACTGTCCTGAGACCGCTGACAGAAGACCATCTGACTTGACTGTGCTTGGCTGACAACCGTGAGAACCTTCTGGCTTTGTCTCTGCACTAAATGTCGCGGCAATACAGCAGTACTCTGAGCCTGGTCTCTCTGGCTGATGGAAAAGGTGCAAAAAAAGCAAGACAAGGCAGGGACACTGTGGGAAATCCAGGTGGGCTCAAAATGAGTGAGTGCTAATTGAACAGTCCAAAATGTAGCTTGGTCCAGACCTTGAGCTGGATGCATGTCTCTGAGCTCACAGGGTCCTAACTGCAGCATTACAATGATTATTGCTGGTGCAGAATTCAAGTATCGAATCATAGTGTAATTGGATCAGAGATGTGCCCTGAGGGAGTCTTCGTGGCTGGCACATGTTGGATGCCAATGCTCATGGTCCTGGGCACTTGGTGGCCAGTGCCTGTGGAGTGTATGCTGAGATGTTGCTGTCTTATGTCCAACATGCAAGGTCCCTTGAAGCCAAATTACCATATCCAAGAATTTCTGTTGTTTAAAGCCTCACCGTTGGTCTGTCAACATTCCTTTAAGAGACACAATGTCAGTATACCTTTAAAAGACATGCTTATGAGATCATCAATGTATCATAGCACATGTCCTGAGGATACAAAGATTTCAAACATCATCTTAACTTGGACTACTTGAAGCATGACACGCTGAGGGAAGTGTGCTAATCTTTGTAACCAAAAGCTTAAGTCATCCCAGACACCTTTGATAAAGCTGTGTTATATTTTTCAATACCACTTTATCTACACCCTAGTTTTTTTCACTGTTATATGGGATAATATAGACATTGCTGCATTAGGCAAAGGTAACTTAGTGGAGTCAAACGTACAGCAATTTCCTCTGACAGAAGTTATTTATCGCATTAATTATGATATTCCATGTGTCATCTGAATATGAAAAAAATTAGTTCTGTGGTAGTATCAAATCTCAGAATCAGCAAGATCCAAAAATCATTTACTCTCTAATAAAACCTGGGAAGAATGTCTAAACATTGCCACTTATCACCTTTTTGTTTCATTTGCCACTTTGCTGCTTGATTGTCATTGCTGTCCCAGACAATTAGGTTAGGACGCTTTTTTTTCAGAAACACTGCAATGCAACTCTCTCTCGCATTATAATAGTTTTGCAGAATTGCTCTGGATTTGCTTCCTCCCAGAGCAGAGGGACTTAACATTGTGAACATAATTGCCTAACAACTGACACCTTTTCACAAAATCAGCAGAGAATTTGAAATTTATACATCAGATATTTATACACTAGTCTCCCAGGATGCATTTTTGCAACCATGTTTTTGTAACGTCATAAGCAGTGCCTCACTAGCTGTTGTACAGATGTCACAACACCAACTGAAGTGTCGCTACAAACCACTTCACACAACTTTGCCTGTCTGACATCAGCAAGCAGCAATAATGGACTAGTCAGAAAAGGTAGTTGTCCTTGCATTTGCCAAAAACAGGCACTGAGGAGAAATAAACTGACATAAAAGCGCGAAGAAAACTACAGAGATAGTAAGAACTGCCGATGCTGGAATCATAGATAACACAGTGTGGAGCTGGAGGAACACAGCAGGCCAGGCAGCATCAGAGGAGCAGGAAAGCTGATGTTTCGGGTCGGGACCCTTCTTCAGAAGATTTTTCTGAAGAAGGGTCCTGACCTGAAACGTCAGCTTTCCTGCTCCACTTTCTGAAGAAGGGTCCTGACCCAAAATGTCAGCTTTCCTGCTCCTCTGGCCTGCTGTGTTCCTCCAGCTCCACACTGTGTTATCTAAGAAAACTACAGAATGGTCATGACAAAAAAAAACAAAAATGGATATTTATTGCAAAACTCTCACTAGCTGCAAGACATGAGTTGTTTCAAACTTTAATTGGATAGAGCGATTGACATTGCCTCAGATAATTGGTCATTTTTAAGTATGGTAAATAGTGGTAGTCTTGGTGGGTAACTTTATAACACATGAACACTGGTAAGACTTGGGGGCCATGTGCAAACAGCTCTGAAGATTTTCATGTATATCCAAGTCTGATCAAGACAGCGTTGAGCATGGAGGCATCAATCCAACTGCACTCATGGCATGCAGCCCACAGTCTGAGTAGAAATGTCATGGGTTGACCTTGAAACAGGTCCTTGCTGCTGAGGGATACAAATGGGAAGCAGGCAGGCAACACTGCTAACTTAGCATTTCTCAGTTAAGAGACAAATGAATCACTGCCAGATGCTGGAATCAGGCCACGGGATAGCAATGGACAAATACCTCTCTGTGTTGTTTTAAGAAGGGATAATAAATGGGCTAATCCATCCGCTGAAATAGCACAGAGAGAAGTTTAAGACAAGCACATTAATGTTTGTAGTATTGTGTTATGCAAAATCCCCTGACTTTGTTCAATAACAGTTAAGCAAATGGTCAGTAAATCCTTATCCTAAGTATAGGCTGTTGTGAAGATCCACAAAGTGAAAATGTTTTTCAGTGCTTAACAAGTTAAAAGACAAATATCAGGCAATGTAGGCCAGTTGCTGACTGTCTATTTTATTTATTAGTGTTATTTATTACCGTTCTTCTGCTTTCCATAAGCTTATAACTCGTTGCAAGAATATTTGAGTGACCTTCTGACATGGGTCGACCATGTTGTGAGCGGCCAGGTCACATCCCTCCCCTAATCCTGGCCAGGTGCTCTGGACCACCTTCTGGCAGCTCGGTGATAGAACACTCAGCAGAAATTCACAAGAGGCAGGAGTGCTGGTGACAATGGTTGACGGTGCAATAATGGCCAATGGGGGGTGCTGCACAGATTGGGTACAACAATGGAAGAGTTGAGGGTGCTGCCAGTCACCGTACATGAGGTCACGTAACTTAGTGACCTCTAAGTATAACAGTTGCAGTGACCATTCATTTTTTTTCAAATAGAAATAGAATTGAGAAACAAAAGAACAGCCGAAGCTGTTTTATCAAGACGTATCACAATTATTGGCAGCACAGAAAGACTCCGCTGGGACAGTTGTATTGTTACTTTTCTGCCAATGGAGGTTACAGAACAGAATCGCCAATGACTCGATTATATATGACAACTGACCTTTATGATATGAATCCACTCATTTCAGTTTGGAGAATATTACAACATGCCCCAACAACATTCAGAGGATCTGTAGGTAGGTTCTGGGTGACAACAGAATTAGGTTTGCCTGTAGTGACTCCTATCAAACAGTTACATTCATCCTCTCACATAAAGGTTGAATAAGAAATTTTTGAGTCATGTATCTGCAAACTTCCTCTCATTTTACAACAAAATGACCAACAGTGCTTTCAATAGACATTAGTTGGTATTAACCTTGCAAAGCAAAACAGGTTGTTTCCCAATGGACTTACCCCTGAAGAGCCTTTTCTCCAAACCAATCGCCTTTTCCTAATGTCCGAAGAAATACAGCTTCTTCATTTGATGACTCTTCCCGAGTCACATTCACCTGCCAAAGAACCAAAGAACCAATCACATTGATTTTCCACTTATGGGAGGAGAGACAATTTCTCTTTAATCCAAATTGTCACTCCTCTTGTTCCAAAAGCACCAGAACAGCTAGGTGGATGATCCTATCTGCATTGACAAGCCCCCTAATACCTTTCCCCTATGTTATTCTTAAAGACAGTCAAACCTATCTGGCTATTTGGCTCAAGGGACTTCACAACTGCAAACATTATTATCATAGGTCCACATTGAGCATTTGGGAGAGCACAGAGCACAGAAGCCAATTTGTATTCCTTCTCCTGACCATTTTCCTCAGATTTTTCCTGGTGCCATAATGATCAATATATATACCCTTGCATCCATCCAGGCAAAAAGAACCCGATTTAAAAGAGAAATTAAAGGGATTGCATAAGCGTATAGCTTCCTTTACATATTGTTCGTACCATGCTACCCCTTCCAATACTTAATCAGCTATTTGATCCCTCCCCAACTAGAGATTGGGTGACTTTTCAAAAGATGGTTCACATTAACAGCACGCAACATTCTGGATTCTTTGAGTTGCAATGAAACTATCATGGAGTGTTCTGGTTCAGAGCCTAACTACCCACTTGCCACAGAGAAAATTGAGTCCAAAAGGTAATTCAAATACTGCATTCCCTATCCAATGGTAGCACCATTGGAGAAAGAAACATTTTGAGTCCAATGTCATGTTTCTTCAGAACTGGAACTGTGGAACCATGTTCTGAAGAAGAGTCATATCAGACTCAAAATGTGAATTTGGTTTGGTCTTCACAAATGCTGCCAAATCTGCCAAGTTCCTCCAGCACTTACTGTTTTTATTTCAGATCTCCACATTCACAGTTCTTTTGACATTAATAACATAGTATTGCTTTTGCAGAGATAATTAAACTAGGTTGCTTGGCTTAATAACTACATTCCTACCTCCCACAATGACTGATTAACAACTTTGACAAACATCCCTTTGATTGGTTGATTTTATTGTTGTCACATGTACCGAGAAATGTACAGTGAAAAACATTGTTTTGCATGCTATACAGGTAGATCGTACCATACAAGGTGCATCAGGGTAGCAGAACAGAGTACAGAATACAATGTTACAGCCATGGAGAAGGTGCAGAGAGAGAAATCAGAGTGAATGTTTGAGAGATCCGCTCAAAAGTCTGATAACAACATGGAAGGAACTGTTCTTGAATCTGTTCATACGTGCATTCCAATTTTTACATCTTCTGCCCGACAGAAGAGGATGGAAGAGAATATAACCTGGGTGGGAGGGGTCTTTGATTATGTTGGTTGCTTTCCTGAGGCAGTGGGAAATATAGATCAAGTTAATGAACGGGAAGCTGGTTTGTGTGATGTGTTAGGCTGTGTCCACGACTCTCTGTAGTTTCTCGCGGTCTTGGAAATGGCAGTTGCCATACCATGCTGTAATACATTGAGATGGAGCGCTTTCTATGGTGCATCTATAAAAATTGGCAAGAGTCTTGTGGACATCCTGAATTTCCTCAGCCTCCTAAGAAAGTAGAGACATTGTTGTGCTCTCTTGACCACATGTTGGCATGGGTGGACCAGGACAGATTGTTGGTGATCATCACTCCCAAGAACCTGATGCTCTGGACCATCTCCCTCTCAGCACATTAATGCAGGCAGGGATGTGCCCTCTACTCTGCTTCTGGAACTCAATGACCAGCTCCTTCAATTTGCTGATGTTAATGGAGAGAATCTTGTCTTTACACCATGTCGCTAAGCACTCAATCTCTTTCCTGTATTCTGTCTCATCATTGTTTGAGGTCCAACCTACAATTTTGCTGTCACCTATTCTTATTCATTGTGGTCTATGGGTCAGGAAGTCGAGGATTCAGAGGGGGGGAGCCATGATCTAGGTCTCGGAGTTTAGAGACAAGTTTGTTTGAAAATATGGCTTCGAAGGTGGAACTGTAGTTCATAAATAGAAGCGTGACCAAGGTATCCTTGTTATCTAGATGTTCCAAGGATGTGCGTAGAGCCAGGAAGATAGCACCTCCTGTGTACATGTTGCACCGGTAGGCGAATTGCAAAGCATCAGGGCAATTTGGTCGGCTTGAGTTGATATGAGCCATGACTAACTTCTCAAAGCACTTCAGAATTATAGAGGTATATTTGGAAGTATAGTAACTTCCAAGCACTGAGTGTTACATCAGAAGAAGGTCTAAACTTCCTACGAAGATGGTAAATATCGTGTCCTCTAAATGTGTCAATCAATATAGTTGTCAGAAACAACTACAACATTTATATTCCATTCTTTCACAAAATTGACATGTTCCAACCAATAATAGAATTTGCCTTAGGAAACCATAAGTCTAGCTGGTAAATTGTCTGATATAGGGAATGAAATATTAAAACTTAATCTCCACTATAAAAAGGATGACTAAGGACTAAAGCAGAGACATTATAAAACACCACCAAGTATCAACATGTAACAGTCCTGAGGTTCCTGTCATTTATACTACAGTATATACGTGTACACACACACTATCTTGCATATGGTGAGACAAATGCATCAGAATCTAGATCTTTCAGCTGTACAAAGTTTATCTCTGCCCCAATTAGTAATAAGTTCAGCTCTCTCATGAAGAAATTCAGAAAATCTTCAGAAAACAGTAGTTCATTCCACACATCAACTAATCTCTGGGAGATGAATAACCCCCTAATTGCTAACATAGTCCTATATCACACGTAGGCATGTCATCTGCGCAATAGTTAGACAAATGCTGTGTGAATTGCAAGTACGATGAAGTTTTAAACAAGGTTCAGCTTCCCTCCTAGGGCTGTTGTCAAAGAATAATTTGCTTGGGTTATCCATGGTATTGTTCGCTTTTCTCCTGAATTTAAGTCGCACAGCAGGATTATTATATTCAGCAATCAATTCGAGCAGCCTCAAAGAATTGACACAGGTTAATGTAGTTGGCCACTAAACAAAAGAAACCAAAGAACTATGGATGCTGAAAATCAGAAACACAAACAGAAATTGCTGGAAAAAACTCAGCAGGTCTGACAGCATCTGTGGAGAGAAAGCAGTGTTAACCTTTTCGGTCCAGTGATCCTTCTTCAGAACTGTTCTGCAGCAAGGTCACTGGACCCAAAGCTTTAACTCTGATTTCTCTCCACAGATGCTGCCAGACCTGCTGCGTTTTTCCAGCAATTTCTGTTTGTGTAACACACTCGGTCGTTGGCTTACCTTTCCTTTGCTAATAATGAAGAAAGTGTCCCCTCGAGCTCCCTGCCTGATAATGTACTCCCCATCTTCGTAATATGTCTGCAGGAGAAAGAAAACAGAATTCATTCCAAATTCTCTTGGATTTTCAGTGCAAGTAACATGAATGGCTTGTTCACAGATAGGACAGTTTCAATGGCATATAAACAGGCACAAATATCAGATCAAAACCCAGCAATGCAAATTAGTTAAATATTCAAAAGTAATTTCGTGTGGTTTATGTTTTGTCTGTTCCTGTCCTAAAGCCCTCCAGCACATTACCCGAGGGAGATTTGATAGCCAGTATTACAGAGCTATTCATGTTGAGTGTATCACGGTCCAATTTAATCCTGTCCTTAACCAATCTCTTCACACATGCACATTTCCTGAGGGGTAAATGAATCACAATTAAGAGTACAGGCTCACCCTGCACTTGGTATTCGAATATCTAATTGTGACCCAAAATCGACAAGGTTGGCAGAGGCCAAGAATGTGACAAAAACCATTGACACAATTTTGTATCGTCTAATTCCTTTGGATGTTGCGTTTCTCCAGGAGGTCAAAAAGATAGGTATTATGCTACATGTGTTCCAAATCCCCAAACATGTACTGAAATGCTTATATATTTAACTCATCTTTTGGATGAGATTCTGAAACCCTAAAGCATTTACTGCACAGTTCTAACACAAGGGGGTATCAGAGAGGTAGCATTCACTACAGATTGTTTTTAAAAGCCAGCTGCAATACAGTCACTAAACAGCATTCGGAAAGTAGAACTGCAGAAGTTTTGCTTTTTACTAAGGATGGAATCTTATGTTTATGCTCATTAAAGTAATGATACCAATAATTTCCAGAGTATGCACAAGTACTGTGAAATTTCACCCATCTCCAGCATAGTTCTGAAATCTCACAACTGTATTATTAACTTTAATGGATTCATTTAGGATTTTAAAATGCATGGTGTGCACAATCATAATTATCCCAATATATCATAGAATCCAGTATAGTATGAAACAGGCCAATCAGCTCATTGAGTCCACACCAAACCTCCAAACAGCATTCCACCCAGACCTACCCCATTCCTGTAGCCCTGTAATTCCATGGCCAATCTACCTAACCTGCATATGTTTGGACTGTTGGAGGAAACTATTGCAGACACAAAAAGAACATGCAAACTCCACACAGACAGTCACCCAAGTTTGGAATTGAACCCAGGTCCCTGGCACTGTCAGGCAGCAGTGCTAACCATTGGGCCACCATGATACCCCATATCTAATTAAACAAATAGGATGAGCCATCAATTAAAATGGGGAGCTGAGGGAACTCTATTTCTGTGCCCTCAACAATGGTTTGGTTTAGAAACAGTAACTCATATTCCGCTTGGGAACCCTGCAGCCTAATAGTATCAATGTGGATTTCACAAGTTTCAAAATCTCCCCTCCCCCTACTGCATCCCAAAACCAGCCCAGCTCGTCCCCGCCTCCCTAACCTGTTCTTCCTCCCACCTATCCCCTCGTCCCACCTCAAGCCCCACCCCCATCTCCTACCTACTAACCTCATCCCGCCCCCTTGACCTGTCCGTCCTCCCTGGACTGACCTATCCCCTCCCTAACTCCCCACCTACACTCACCTTTACTGGCTCCATTCCCGCCTCTTCGACCTGTCTGTTTCCTCTCCACCTATCTTCTCCTCTATCCATCTTCTATCCGCCTCCCCCTCTCTCCATATTTGTTTCAGAACCCCCTTCCCCTCCCCCATTTCTGATGAAGGGTCTAGGCCCGAAACGTCAGCCTTTTTGCTCCTATGATGTTGCTTGGCCTGCTGTGTTCATCCAGCTCTACACCTTGTTGTCAATGGTTTGGTTTACTTTGCTTTTCCAGCGTCAGCTACAAACAATCCCAAGTTGAGTGCAATATGGACAGGCATGAAGTGAGAAACTTTCTATTTTCTCTCTAAAGGTAACTTGACATCAATCTCACCTCATAGTCCACAATCGGCACCAATAACAGTACATTCCTTTGCTCATTGTACACAAACAAAAGAATCCACATTGTTCAATAATAAGTAAGGCACAGGTTTTAACTTTCTCCACCTGGTGTGAAGTGAAAGTGATGCTGATCTTATCTCCACTCCAAGGCCTTTATTGCATTGGTGTTTAGCCAATGTGATGAATTCTATATCTCTTTGTATCTGTTTGAACTGTGTGTGCTCTCTGGCTAACAGCGCTACAGAGGAAGTAAGATGGGAATTATAACATTCAGGGAACAAGGTACTACAATGGGTGCCACATTCGATCCTGCCTGGGATCAAGGCTTATTGTGAGGTTTTCAATAAGTCACTCAGATCCATTCAAGGGTTGGTGAACAGCAGCTCAAAGGTTGGGTTCTGTTGGAGTCAGTTAGTCAGAGGTAGTGGAGGCAGAAGGATAATACTTCAGGCTGCCTGTCAGTCAGGTACTTAGGAGCAGGGAGAGAAGGCTCTATTGCAAAAAAACGGTGCTGCAGGCACCAAACATTTGGGATTCAGAGAAGTCCTGTCAGCTCGGAAGTGATGGGGATAGGGCTCAGGATAAAAAAGCAGCCTGTGAGCCATTGATAGTTCAGTGTAGCTGAGAGTGGAGTTTGGGAAGCCTGCAGTAGTATTAACTTGGTGCAACTGACAACGATCGGAGCTCAGAGAATCCCGGTCAGTACTTGCTTAGTGAAGCTAGCTGTCTGTGCAAAGTTGGAATTATGCATATGAATCAGTGGTGGATTGCAGTCTCAAGAAACACCGGAGCTTAGTCCCGAGAAAAATGGTTTAACTGTCAGGATGTGAGCAGTCATTGAGGCAATCCATATCAGAACAGCTTTTGAAGGAATATCAGAAGTGACGAAGTGAAATCCTAAAGAGATTTAATAACCACAGTGTCACTAACATTGAGGTGGTTGATTCTAAGAAATTGTGGGATCGATCTAACAGCATTTACTATTTAATGTGTCCTGAGGGTTATCTGTTATACATATTTACTCATGTTCATTCAGGATGGTACAGTATATTCTGGACTGGTTTATTGTTCTAACTTTGTACAATAAAGTTTATTTAGCATGCTCAGAACATTGCAATCTTGTGTCTTTATTCCCTTAGTAGTTAGCTTGGATCTCATGCTTCAAAAAAAATCACTGATTCCTAACTAGATCATAAATAATTTTGACAGAATCATAGCATCGGACAGGTCATATGACTACTTGACTCATGTTCACTCCATTACTTTGCAAATTGAGATCTTATCATAGAGGTCGACAGCACAGATAAAGGTCCTTTGGCCCATCGAGTCCTACTTCTTCCATCAGGGAGAAGATACAAAAGCTTAAACACACCTACCAACAGGTTCAAGAACAGCTTCTTCCCCACTGTTATTAGACTTCTGAATGGTCTTCTCAAATTTCAAATCTAATATTGATCTTGTTTTTTGTGCACCCTCCTACAGCCTTAACTTTGAATTGCTCGCATTGTTCAATCACCCTATGATCTGCCTGTACTGCATGCAAAACAAAACATTTCACTGTACATAGGTACGTGACAATAATATTTCAAATCAATTCATAAGCAAACACCTGACTATTCTAACCCCATTTTCCAGCTCTTGGTCCATAGCCCTGTGTGCCTAGGCATCACTTGAATTGTGACACGTAGGACTGCCTTCCCTATTATTCCCCAAACCCTCATAAAAACGCGCACCTCACCCCATGCCCAGCAATTTACCAGAAAGGAACTAAGTGGCCAACTGTTGAGAGGCACTGGTAAGCTGCCTTTGAGGAGGTGGCATCAGATAGGCATTTATTATTTCCTCTACCGAGTTTAATGTAAAAAGCTGGGTTACAGTTAGCACTACCTGAAGCAAAATGGCTGAGGGAATAGCCACTGTATTTGTTTGGATAAGTTTGTTGCTAGTTAAATCCTTTCATTATGACGCACGTCATCAGGTTATAATGTAGCGTACTCCCACTGCCCCATAATTTCCATTCAATTAAGTGAGTTTTAAGTGAAGAGTTGGACAAATAGTTGCATGACAATCAAGACAGGCAAAAGATCCTACAGAAACAAAGGCTGTGATGTTTGCTGAGGCAGTGGGGTCAGAGGCCACAGGGTGAAATGCTGACACTATTCATGCTGCAGGTAAGTGCTGTTCAGTTGCTTTAAAACGATTCACAGCAAGCTGTTTCACAGCATCAATAAATGTAGAGATAACAAGGTGTAGAGCTGGATGAACACAGCAGGCCAAGCAGCATCAAAGGAGCAGGAAGGCTGACGTTTCAGGCCTAGACCCTTCTTCAATAAATGTATCAAGGTGTCACAGGCAGCATTGCCTTATGTGCTGTCCTTCGGCCTGCCCTCAATTTGCAGTGAAATTTGAGACCATCGGTGCATTCAATTAGAAGTGTGAGAGAAGAATCAACTTTAACAGGTGCATAAAGGGTGGCTTATCTCAAACACTTTAGCATGGGGGAGCAAATTTGATACACATCCATTGCAACACCTGACAGAAAGGGATTGCTACTCAAAAGTATACTGTGTGTATGATTCAGAGGAGATTATCAGCGAACAGTAACAAAAAAAAGACTTGCTAATTCAACAGGCACAGAACAGATGCGCAATGTTGTATTCCTGAGATACTGTGCTTTCATGCACGTGGTGCTAGATTCTAAATGGCCAGAAGTCTGGCAACATCATGAAATTCCCTGCTAATGCCAAGGTTGAAAAGCTATGCCTTGTGGGTTTATGAAAACCAAACGCAGCTTTAAGCTTATGCAAAGTATCATAGCTTTTGCCACTTGATCTCTGTAATTTTCCTAGACTTGGGTTTGGTCACGATTGGTAGTGGCCAAAATATTTACTGCCATTCAGAGCTGTGATCATCTCCAGCAACAATTGAAATTATTAAATTAAGCTCAACATATTTCTACATAGAAATAGTTACTGCACATGACTGTGTACCACATCGAGAAAATTTATAGCATATTATTCCAAGACAAACATGATAATTTCTGAATTTTATTAATAAATTTTAATCGTTATGGCTT